GCCTGGTATGTACTGTAGTCTGTATGAGCTGGAGGATAGTTTTAAGAGTCTAATGCTGATCTGACTCATTTACTTGTATGAGATGATATAGAATTTGAACTTGGCAAGTCTAATATTTGTTTTTTCAGCATCAGAAATAAATAATGAAGTTGGAGTTGATGTCATTGAGAATCACAGTATGGACCCCCTTTCATCAGATGTTTTCCCAAATGCTGTGGCTTCAGAGTTTTCACTGTCCTCTTCACCATTCAATTCATTGGATCGACCAACAGCTCATGCAGAGGATGTAGGCCATGAACATTTAGGGAATAATTTGAACATTGATGGGTTTTTGGAGAATCATGAGGAATCAGGTAGTAAAGAGCAAAGTCCAGAAGAGAACTTGACAATGTCTTCACCTAGCAAAGGGAAAAAACCTGTGCACTGCAGGAGTTCCAGAGAGATTAATATAGAACTAAGAGCACAAATTATGAAAGAGATCCGAAAACCAGGAAGGAGTAAGTATACTGAATTTCTTTCAGATAATTGGCATGAGAGTTAATCAAATAATTCATGTTAGATCACTATTTTAGAAGTGTACTGGACAATGAGACTGAAGCAAAATTAAATTTAAAGCTGGAAAGATTTGTTTTAAAATCTCTGCTAAAAACTTACTGAAGGAGTGATGAAAACATTGCTATACCTATCAGTGTTCATGAAAGTCATGGTTTTTATGTCAATACTAGAATTAGCTTGATAGGTGTTAGTAATATCCTAAGCTTCAATATCACATGTTTAATATCGGTTCTCATTAAATAAGATGTTCTTGCTTCAGTTGATAGGAGATGCAGCTTAAAAGTTTACAAAAATTGAATGTTGCATTTCACTCAAATCTATTACAACAGATATCTGCAGGCATCTTTTAAATAACTGATGTTTCTATTCTCTTGATCTTTAAGAATATGAAAGAATCTTCTTTTTGCTGAAGCATGTACAAGGAAGCTTACAAACCCGACTGATATTTTTACAGAATGTTATAAAAGAAGCTTCAAGGTAGGTAACAGGATTGTATTATTCTTACAGAGCTGCACCATGTTGTGCCATGTATAACGGCTGGACAATCACGCAATTGTTTGAAAACAATGCTTTGCACTGCAAGTAAATAATTCCCCATGAAAGAGCAGAAATGCATTAGCTTCTTGAGGTGTTGTTTATAAAAGCTTACCTTTTTCCCTTGGCTTTTGGCTTAAAAATGTTAGCAACTGTAACTGCCAAATCCCTGTAAATGTGGATGACAATGGTACAGACCGAGGAGGTAACTTTAAAAAAATCATTCAAATTGAAAAGCTCAGGCGAGTGTACCGTTAATTTGAAAAATATAATGGAGCTGCCAGTTACTGGGAATTAGGCTTTCAGAAACAGCATCAGTTAAAAATCTTCTCCTAAAAATAGTTTTTAAATTCAGGTATGCTCATAAAGATATGTCTCTACTCTTCAGCATACTTCATTCAGAGATAGCGTAGTCCTGTCTGAGACTTTGGAAATGGAGGTGGCTTTTCTCTGAAGAAGAGTGACTTGATAAGGATTTAAACCCTGTGTTTTTCATCCAGGTAGAAACTGTTCTTTACAGTATGTTTAGACTGTCCATACTTAGCCTTCTACATGCTTACTGAGAGGAAAACAGGAGAAATGTATTAGAACCAATAGTGTTTGAGTTGCAAGGAACGAGTAATTCTAGGATCTTGAATGGATCGTAAATATAACCAGAACATTAAGCAACCTCAAAGAATAGCTGCTTCTTATTCTCTAATCTGTTTTGTGGTAGTCAGCTCTTTTCCTGTGGCATTAAGCAAATTTCATTATTAAAAACAAAATTTTTGGAGAAAGCCGTGCTTCTCAAGGTATGCTAGATGTTGGACCCTCTAGCCTTCTAGCCAGCTTGGTGGGGCATGTAAATTTATGTAGATTGTGCTCTTCCTATAGCAACCATTGCTGTATTGTGCTTTTGCTTGATTGTTACATTGCCTGTCAGAGTTGCTCTGTATGTTGTAAATTATATATTCTTCCTCTTTGTCACAGCACAGCATAACAATACTGTTGCTCTTGGAGTTTGTGACAGCCCTTAGTGGGGTTGGAATTTTAGTGCTGTAAAATTAGGACTTTAAGATCACCTGTAACTCTAATTTCTCTTGCACAGTCTCTTTATTCCAGCTGTCTTTAGTTGACAATTCTACAAAATTTGGCAGTGTTTGCATCAGGGATTGTGGGGAAGGCTTGTGATCTGGAAATTAGGGCAGGTACCATGTCTCTGTGAGCCAAGGGCGTGGACCAGGATGCCTGACTGGAACCTAGAGGGCTTCTGCTGGGGTTTAGTGAAGTCACAGGACTGAATTTGGGATATTGTTCAAAATATTTTAATTGCTGCCTGTATTTGAATGTACATATGGCTACCAAAGCATTGGTCAGAAGTGGCTTCTCAGAGGTGCAGAAATGTTGCAAGGGGGAGGGGTTAGCTGGAAACAGCTAGGAGTTATACTTCCTGAGGTGGTGTAAGCAGAGGTGACAGAATGGCCAACTGATCAAATTTATACAACTAATATGGAATAGAGATGTAGAGACTCCAGAGGTATGGAGTTTGGATGCCTGTATTTTCCATTTTTTTTCTCAATGTTTTCATTTGTGTTGTTTGTCAGGAGATCTGCTTTGCACTGTGTAATGACAGTTCTTCCACCAGTACCAACTTTGTTGACTTGGGTGAATGCATCATGAAGGCATGCAAATAATCCCTAAAAGCAGTTTGCCAGCTTTAGGATTATAGTTCTTTTGATGTGTATTTTATTTTTGTGCTTCAGAGCTTCACTTCTGGAAGCAACAAACTCTTAACTGTCTTTTTCCTGGATTTCTGAGAGCTGAGTGATGTTTAGCTATAAACTCTCATAAATGTAATTTTGTATTCAGCAAATGGAAGAGCAAGTTAGTGGTTTACCAGAATGTTAGGAGACAGTGTATGTATATAAATGAGGTACGTGTAGACCTCTTCATGCACTGCTCCTGAAGTAATAATTGAAGTTTCCAGAGTTCAGTTAAAGTTTTGTCAATGGTATTTCATGTACTACTTTGTGCCTCCATCGTAATGCTTTCTTTTAAATCCAGGTTTAAAAAACGAATGCTGATAGAACAGCTTGAGAGTTTTCTGGAAGAAATCCATCGCAGATCCAATCAGGTCAACCATATCAAGAGCAGCTAAGAAACTGCACATGAGAGCCACAGCAGGACACTGCTGTTCTTCCTTGCATTCATTTTTGACATGCACTCTTATCTCAAGTTCCTGTACCTGAAAGAATGAGAAGCTGCTCAATTAAATGATGAAAAGTATCAATCATCCTTTTTTTTTCTTCACTTCTGTTATTTTTGTAATGTGAAAAATACAACAAAAACATTTTTATTTAACTAAAATGAGAACTTCTTGCTTGTCATGGACATAAGTGTCACTTTCCCTCAGGTTCTATTTTTCTTAATCTAACCTTCTCAAAGCTATCACCTCTTAAGGTTGAACTTTGCCAAAAAGTTGCTTTGTAATTTTCAAAGAAAAAAAAAGCACATACGTTAAACAAGGTAATGTTTTGTATATACAGTTATTTTGGATATATTATTGTAAGTTGTATAAATGTATTTTGAAAAATATTTAAGAAAAGCACTTTTGTTATTCCATCAATAAAATCTCTATTTTAATCTTTGTGTAGGTTTGAGTACAGTTTTTATTGAAATCATTTGTTTTGCCTTCCCTTCCCAGAGCCTTCTGTGTTTTGGTATCAGTGTTAAAGAAGGAAGAGTGGTTTTGTATCACTGGATATTCTGCTCCTAATCGGAGAATGAGTGAAAGAGAGCTAATGCTGAATTGCAGTTACAGTAGGATATCTTGTGTGCTTTGCACTTTTGATGACCAGCATAACAAAGTGATGTTTTGTAAGCACATCTGCAGCCATGACAAACCCTGCAGTTTTATTGAGGGATACAGTGCAGTAAAGCAGGATTCAGTAGCCTTTGAGCTAGGCTGTGTGGAGGTTTTCTGTGACGGAATTTTATGTGTTTACAAGTGCGGGAACAGCCACAGGGTGCTCCTGTCTGGACACAAAATATCACTGATTGCTTTACTGGCCACATCTTTCAGCTGTGGTGGGTGCTCTGGGTTATCTGCAAGGCTTTGTTTGATTCAAAGGGAGCTGAATAAAACAGGCCTCTCTGATGCTTTTCTTGGGAGTCAGGGGTTTGCAGTCTTCACCCAAAATCTTTGTGGGCCTTTCTGATGGTTGTGCCATGAGTTCCTGAACACTTGTCATATCCCAACTTTTGTAAGGATGCTGAAAATCACCCCTCCCTCCCATTTTTCATGATGCCAGTAGTCATGTTCAGTGTTCTTCTGTAATACCTGTTCTATGTTGTCTACACTTCAAAGGCAGTAGAGGTAGTACTGCTACCTCTTTTAGCAGTATTTGTTTGGTCACTGAGTGGGTATTTCTGCTTCTTACCTGCTCTGTGTGGAACAGGCTGCCCTGGCAAATAGTAGAATCGCCATCCCTGGAAGTGTTCAAAAATATGTAGGTGTGGTGTTAAAGGACTTGGTTTAGTGGTGGACTTGGCAGTGCTGGGTTAATGGTTGGATTTCATGATTTGAGAGGTATTTTCCAACCTTAATGATTCTGTGGTTCTGTCTCAGTTCTGAAACAGCCTTTTAACTTGATTTTCTTCTCACAACATTTTGCTGCTTGCTTGTTACCATCTATATCAGCTGGGTTATAATTGTTTCAGGTCAGATTGAACTTGTTTTTTTCTTAAGCTTTTGATTTCAGGATAGGGAAATATAATTGTGCTTGAAAAATAGTATCACAAAGCTTTCTTGTGGGTTGTTTTCATTCAAGTGACCTACATACTCAGCAACAGTCAAGCTGACTTTAGCCATGGTAAAGTTGAGAAGCTGTTGGCTCATACTGTTAAACATTTAGGAGGCTAAACCATTTCCGTTTTGGTTTTTTTTGTAACTTTATTTGGATACTGTCTTTGCTGTAGTTGTGGTGCTGATGATTCCTAGACAGCTCTAAATTTCAACAGTGTCTACAATTTAATAAGGTAGTGGAGATTCTTGGAAAAGTGACACGTTTAAAATTGTGTTTTAATAAATACAATGTAGCCTTTCATTTCATTGGAGGAAAGCTTATCATAGGAGGAGCAGAAGTCAGGGTATGCATTTAGTGCTTATTGTGAAGGATTTGTAACTCTTCCTATAAAAAGAACCGAACCTGTAAATGAAAACAATATTAACATTATTTCAGTTTGGGGCCACATTTTCTAAGTGTAGTATAGTTTAAATACATAATTTAGGTATGGAATTGGCAGGTCATTCATTGCTTATATGGAAAAACTGACTTGAATTGCATGCTTGTCTTAAAATTAAACATTTCTGTATTAGAAAAATCTTTCCAAATAACTGGTAGCCCAAACCAGGAGCCTGTCAAAATCTGAAACTTTCACTGAGCAAAACAGAACTGAAGTTCAGTGCTTTGTGTTCATATTTTAGTTACAGAAGAGACTTAAATGACTGCCTCAGACTGAGTGGATTTGTTTGGTTATTTGTAATGTTATTACCTTGTCTGTTCTTCAAAGGCAATGTGCTTAAACCTGAAATTCAGATTTTAAAACTCTAAAACTTTTCAATTATTTTGAGCAGAACTATGCTATTTTAAGTATTGGAAAACATATTTATGCTATTACTAGAAAATTGATGCAATGAATACTTTTGGTCTATATAAAGATTCATTAAGAACTTTATGGGCATAGAAGTTTTAAGCACTTTTAGACAGGTGGATGAAAAATAGATTTTGTTTACCTGTTCAAACTTTCCATACCTCAAAAACTTGAATCACTAAGTGAATAAACAAAATGACTGAATGTTTTTACTTTTTGGATTAGAAAGCTGAAATTATGGAAATGTATTTTTGATTTTGAGTTGATTGGAAGGTATGTATTTTATGCTTCACATGAAAATCCTGTTTTACAATCTGATTTCCGTCCTCTTTATATAACTTATATATATTGTAAACTGACCATTTTATTCCCCCAAGTTAGTTTGTTCATAATCTTGAAGAGTCTGTGACTCATGTTTCATAGGTGAGTTTATTAATGCCTTTTTAAAATTTTGCATCTGCCAAGTAAAATACTTTTATCCATTGACTGGTAATGATTGCCAAAGCATATTTAAAACAAAATTCCAAGCAAGGCAGTAATTTTCTCTTTGGGTGCTTTCACTGTGGTCAAAAATCATGATATGGGTTTTTAAAACAAAATGTCACATACACAGGTATTCACTGACCAAGAGCACAGTGTGTGATGCTTGGAAGGAGATAAGGGAAATTTCTGTCTTTGTGCTAGTAGGCATCAGTGTTTTACTGAACCCTATAAATGTCAGTATGTTCCTTGAGAATCTAAATGGCTGTGACGCCAGTTATGAGAGAAATGTGGTGGTTTGAACGATTTTTAGGAAAGTACTTCAGGTGCAAAATTACTGCATTGTTAATAATTACGAGAGTTGTTGGATATTGGCCTGATGCTTCAGAGTAGCAAATACCTGCTAAATTGTGAATTTTGCAGTTCTTTATTATTGCCAACAAGCTATAGGGTGTTTTCTTTTGGCAGACATTCTGGAGTAACTTAATGGAATTGGACGTCTGAAATGAGATTTATAATTCACTACTGAAGCTAAAGGAGCACTGTGATTCACTCCAAGAGATGCTCTGCAGTTCTGTTTGGGTATTTTGGGGTGTTTTTTGTCTGAGGTCTAGGAGAGGTCATTTGCAAGAAAAGAGTTAACAGTTGCAAAGAAATGTTTTTTGGCAGAACTCTGTTTGCTATCAGTATGGGCATGGATAAGTTTTCTTTATAGGGAAAGGTTTCTATTTCAACTACTTCAGATGTTAATCCAGTTGGTCTAGCCCATTTGTAATTTGAATTGCTCTGTAGAGATCAGTTCCTGATGCTGGAATGTTCAGCATCTGAGATCTCTCCAGTGCCTGTCACTTGGATAGAAATTTTTTGAGCACATATTGCATGTACAAAGAAGAGGCTAATCTGGCTTCCTAGACTTCTATGACTATTATACATTCTTTTTAAGGAAATTAAAATATATGCTTTAAAATCCCAATCCCCACTGTTTCTGTGGTTGTTTGAAGTTTCCTGTACTGAAGAAGGGTGTGTTATTTGTATTGATTTCAGTGTTACTTGTGTGGGATTCTGCTCCTGAAAGGCAGAACATGCATACCTGTCTTAGCTTGTCTCAGGAAAAATGTGAAAGGTCGATCTGCTTTGAAAATAGGTGTTCGAGATCTTTTCAGTAAGACCATTGCTGTAATGCAACAAAGAAAACATCTGTAAAATACATCAGAAAATGTTTTTTCTTTCCATCTTCCATACAAGTGCCCTCAAGCTCTGGTAAGTATCTTGACTTTTGAGTTGCTCCTCTGTTTTAAGACTAAAACAATGATTTTATCCCGCAGTGAGATCAGTCTGGCAAAATTAACAAGTCAGGAGCTGTGAGACTACATGCATGTGATTCATGCATATTTCAGTCCTTAAGGGTGCCTGCTTGGCGTTGGATCTCAAAGGTTATTTTTGTCATCACATCCCTACCTCTGCTGAAGTCATACCATGCTGTTGCCTCACCTGTTAGACAATTCCTAGCTGTGCTGTTCTGGTGAAAAAGATAAACAAGGCACAAATGTAGTTCTTTATCCAACTGGGAGACAAGCAGCAGAGAAATACCTATGTCATTGTGGAATTTCTCTTGTCAGAGCTCTCAACAAAATCTTAAGTATCCTCAACTCAGTTTATGACAGTCTTTCCTCTCTGGTTGTAGGTTAATTTTTAGATTAAATGAAGAGTTTTTAAGAATTGTGATGGCTCAGCTGTTATTAAAATAAATCTTGTTTAAATTAATTCTTCCTTTAAGCTATATAGTATTAAGAATACATTGTCAAAAACCCCACCACTAAACCCATCATATCTGGATTATTTTTGAACAGTTGAAACAATGGAATTAGTTTGAAAATTCAATTAAGACACAATAAAACTAGTTTGGGAAGGCTCTATTTTTTAGTGCTTATAAAAAAATATGCCTAGTTTCAAGTCATCATGTCACTATAGATCTTTTGAAGTAAACAATAAACGTAATTGCACTTTTTAAAATCTGCTTGTCAGCTTGGTCTGATTGGAGTTAAGGGATGTTTTTGCATTGGTTTCAAGGGGATAAAACTCTGTTCTCCTTAGCCTTTGGTATGTAATTGAAGTCATCTAAAGCTCTTATTTTGTATGGGCCTTACCACACAGTTATTAAAAACATTACTACCCCGATAGAGATTAAAACTGTTACAAAACTTAAAACTGTACAGCTCTGCAGAAAGGTTAACTTAATTATGCCAGATGTTCTGAGTACACCCCGTTTGTACATGTGTGTTTTATTCAGGGTTGTTTCTAGAGGAATTCTGAATACATCAATTTAGGTGTGCTCAGGTTGTTTTTGGCATTGCAACTGTGGGATGTTGGGCACCACAGTGAGATGCACTGCTATGCTCTCTACATGCCTCTTGAATTCCTTCCTGGGAGCAAGGAAGAGAAGTGGTAGAGTGCTCTGGTCCCTAGCCAAGGACCCAGCAGCATTTGTGATATGGAGCGCATTTTTCCTTGGCACAGCCCAGGAAGGAGAAAGGCAAAATGTGGTTAATGGTGAATTAATCATGTACTGACTGGGTAGTCTATAGCTGAGACTTTGCTCTGAGTCTCCCACTCACCCAGTCCCATCTGCTCATGTGGAAGCGATATGTTGGCAGGAGCTACTGCATGTGAAGGTCACACTTCATAGTATGTAAGAATCAAGCTTGTCTGCATAAAACTTGCCCATCATTACCGTTAATGCTATCAAAGGGATCATCCTCACATCCCATAACAGTTCAGGTGCTGTAGATAAAATATTACTAACCTTTTTACATTTTTTTGTTCTTATGATCTGAGCAAATAGATATTTAACCAGCAGAAAAAATATATATGTCATATTTTCTCAAACTGGATTTTCCCTGGACTGGCAGAGTTGTTTTTTTCATTTGAGCCATTACACCTTAGTTAGTGTAAATTAAATTAAAGTTTCTTATGAGCAATTACAAAGGTAAAATGAAAGTGTGTTAAATACAAAAGTTTGTTAGGTATATATGTAAATTCTACCATGCTTTTTTTTGTTTTAAATAAGAGACTGGTAGTTGATTTTATAGTGGTAAGCTCCAGAAGTGAGAAGTTTGAGTATTTGATTTACCTGTAGCTCCTGATGCTTTTGTACCATCTTCTGTTACTTCAATCTCTGCTTTGTGAATAGCTTCTGAAATATAAAGACTATCTTGCTCTGTAAAACCCCAAAAATTAGTAAGTTATTTTCTGCATTTTATTATGAACATATTTTAAAAAAATACTCAGAATACTTTTACCTTTTTTTTTCCCACAGAATCTAAGGATCACATAACTGTTAGGTATTTCAGCATTTGACTGTTCTCCCATTATATAGATAACAGTGGATTGAATGCTGAATGGGAATTAATAGTTTGAGAGGTCCCCAGGTTGTGGTGGAAGGCAAGGTTACATAGTGAAAAATAGTGAAAGTAGAAACAAACAGAGGACAATGAATGAACTGAAGAACTCTTGGAAGGGAGAATGTAGAAAAAATGTTCTTCAGGAATAAACAATGGAACTGTGACATAAAATGAATTTTGGAAAAGAATTAATTTCAGAAAGACACTGGAAGAGAGTGTTATGTCTGCTTTTCTCCAGTGGCCTGCAAAAGGCAGAAAGCAGGAAAGGTTGGGAAGTTTTTTCTTTCTTGTCTGAATTCAAGGATCAAGTCCAATGTGTAGGTGAAATCAAAGAAATGCTAAAAGAGAATTTTATCTATTTCTGTCTTAATTTTGTCCAGTCAGAAAAAATGAGAGGAAAGCAAGCAGGAAAAAACTAGGGAGATGAAGAATTTTAAAAAGTAGATAAATCTTACACATTTTTGAGGGGGAAAATGCAAGCTTTCAGGTATTAAAAAAAGTTATTTCAGGTCTAAAATTAAGAAATACATTTGTTTGTTGAATGTGATTTGAGAGTAAATATTCTGAAAATTATCTTTCTGCTTCATACAGAAGAGAAAATGAAAACGTACCTTTTTTTACTGTCTATTTGTTAAGTAAAAGATACATTTTTCCTTGTAAACTCTCCCTTACATAACTCTTAGACCATATAGAACCCTTTTATGACATGGTGATGTAAGAGAAGAGCTAAAAAGAGCTTCAACATATCCTTTATTCCATAACCCTGCAGGGTGGGATCAAATACTTCTACAAGCCTTATCCTGAATGCCAAAAGCCAAAGGGAAGCTGCTAAATTACATTGTTTATGGAATTAATTTCCCCAAAGTATTTATCTTAAGTAGATATTAACTTTATAAAATACATCCTTGTGTAGTTTATCAGTATATTAACATTTGTTTGCAATAAGCAAAGCAGCGGTGAGCAGTAACAAATTATTTTAATGTGCATCTCTGTGCAGTCTGAGATCTGTATTGCAATGGAACATTGCTATGTTAAATTTTAAGAGTAGCATAAACGCCATGAGTGATGTGCCTTCTGTGGTTCCCAGGAAAGCAACTTTTCTGTAAAAGCAGGTTTGTCTGAATTGGAGCAATTTAATTTATTCAGTCACATACACAAGAATGTGAGCTGCTTGCTGGGCAGCTACCACTCCCAAGCCTTTACTGTGAGCAGAAATGTTTAAGTTAAAATATTTTCTTGCTGGAAGGAGTCAAAAGGAAAAGAATAAGTAATATGGATTCTTTAATTTTCATTTAATATTAAATGGAGACAAATTTTCCAAGGAGCAAAAGAATTTCAGTGTTCCAAACCCAAGAACTTAATCATAACAACAGTATTTTAGCAAAGGGAAAGTATAACTTTGGATACTGATTACTGGATTAGCAAGGCAGTATATATAGCCTGGGCATAAACCAGTACTGTTCGCAGTGTCAGGAGGTGGAATATAGACTTGTTGGACCAGCATCCCTCACTGTTAAATAACTATTTGAAAACACAAACAGGAATATAAGTTTTACTAAAGCATCCTAAATTTCTGAATAAATAACCATTTTCCCAAGCCTACACTGTCTTGACAGTTTTAATCTTACAGACAAGAAAAAAGTAAGTTCAAGACCAAAACCAAACCTGTGCTTTCAGGTTCCACTTTCCTACAAAACAGCTCAAAATACAATTGCAGTTGAGTGTGACTTTTGCTTTAGAGTTTCACTGATAAAGAAGTACAATAAATTTAGAAGATGCAGGTCTAGCAAATCATTCAAATATGAGTCTAAAACTATTGGGTCAAGGATCATTTTGTATTTGGTCTAGCCTCTTACCTGAAATGCCTTTAAAATTAGCAGTGATGGGATCAAATGCATCTCTAATTCCCAAGGCAGAAAGAACTGTCTTTAGGTCAAAAAGGCTTTGAATACTGAACCTGAAATTAATGTGATAGACTTTATTTAAATGCAGGATTTGTAGAGTTTTGTGGAATTAAAAGGCATTAACAGATACAATTTATTTCAAGCCTGTACATTTAATCCATCTCTTCCTGTATGAGCCCAGTGCATTGTCTGATTAAGTGTATTTGCAGAAAAGTAACTGACCTTCATCTGAAGACATTAACAGAAGGAATCCCTTGCCACCCTCTGTTGCAATCAGATTGCTACTAAGTCTTCTTGACATGTGAATTTATTTTCACAAAGTGTTCCCTTTCTAAAGTTATTTTTGGTTATAGCAAATGGCCCTTGGAAACATTTCCCAAAAATTATCTTGAAGAAAACAAATATTAGTGTACACACTGCTTTTTAGTGCTATGTTAATGTGATGAATACGTTTTAAGATGTGTATAATGAAGCCTTTCTGTGCTAATCCATGCAATAGATACAGCCACATAAAGCCTTCTGTGCCCAGTTCCTCCTGCTATGCAATTTCGTTGGAGTAGATAGTAGAAAATACCTCCAGCACAGGTGTTTGGTAAAACAACAGCTGACTAAAGTGGAAAATGAATAAGTGAAACCTGCTTTGTGCATGGAAATATGGTTATGGCTGCTGGAGGGGGGCCAAGCTTTTTGTCTAGTGCCTTTTTAGTACTCTGGAAAGTTTAGAAAATACAAAATAGTATGTCTTTAGTAGGTTATATGTTTATTCTTCCTTAGAGAAAGAGAAAAATGAGTGTGGGAAAGGTCAAGCAACACTTCCTTTGGTTTAGATCCTTAAAGGATTTATATCCCAAAGAAATAGTAAGTAAAAGCTGTAGGATCAACTAAATAGTTAGGTTTTTTAAAACAGTATAGAATGTAACCAGAAAGTCTTGTAATTCCTGGCTCACCTCTTTGTGGTTTAAGAAAGGGTTAGAGCATCTCTGTTCATGTGATGGATGATGAAACCAAAAGCATGTAATTTGATTTTGCTCACACACTGCTTGTGTCAGCACTGTCACATGGAATTCTGACAGCTAAAGTAGTGAATTTGTTGTGCTAACATTGCTTACCTAGGCAGAAATATGTCCATCTTTGTTCTCTTCAAGCTGTTGGCCCAGAGGGTTATGGTTTTGGCAGAAAGGTGAGACTCAATCTGGGACAAAGGTGTTCTTTTGTGGCTGGGAAGCACTAGGAACATGCTGAGTTTCTCCCCCAGGTAGGGTAACTCAACCACGCTGAAAGCCTCCAGAGCTGCAGTCTGGAACTGGCCTGTGGGTGGGCAAAGAGAGATCTTATTTCATCATTCAAGTGGGAAGAAAACCTCAAACCCATAACCCTTGCTGGGGTCAGCAGACAGTTCAGAGCAGCTGTGGTGGGATGTAAGAAGAGGTTTCTAGTCCTTGGGCTCCTGTAGCCAGCTCAGGTTGCTGTTAACTCACCTGAACAGAATGGAGTGTGTCAGAGACACAGGTATCTTGGCAGAGCAGTGCCAATGCCACTGATAGCACCTGAAGAACCACCTCAGCAGAGCATGGGTATTTTATTACTTTTATTGTATGTCCCCCTTGCTCAGTCTGGGGACAAAATACCCAGAACTACCAAGTTAATGACAGCAACTATGATGACTCTTCCCACAATGTTCCATTAAACAAGAGCTAGTATACACTTATTTAAAATTTGCTATTTATTTATTTTCTATTTAAGCACAAAATTTATAATTTTTGAAAATCTATGCACAGAGACCTATCACAGTCAGATGAAGGTCATAAAAAATAGTCTCAAAAGTAAAAGCTGGAGAGCTTCCAAACTTCCAGTTAGCTTTACAGCACTCTGTAATGGCCATTTAAAAGTACCATTTTCATCCCATATTCCAAAAAACAAGTTAATCCAGACATTTCTAATTAATTCTTTTATACAGTAGAACAGCCTTGGTTATCACAATTTTACTTCCTAGTTTTTTCATCTGAGAATCCAGTAAGTAGCATTTCAGGAACACTTACAATGGTTATTGGGCCAGGAGTTTAATACAACTTAAGTACAAGGCACAAGTGAAAGTCTTACTGCCTTTACTGCAAGCCATCCAAGATACTGAATCTACACCTCCTTCATCCAGCTGTAGCAGTTGTATCTTCAAGGGCAGATGCTCACACTGTTAGAGTCAGTGGTTGTAAATAACTGTATATGGATAGCTCATGTTCATAATACCTAAATATTTGGCAATAAATACATAGTTATAGGATTTCTGAAATATTTAGTGTACAGTGATTGTTAGTTTTGCAGGTATGGACTAGTGAGGATTCATTAAGTGTTGATTGTTCTGCTAGATTAATTTTAGTCTCTTAGACCAGCCCTCCTGCCTTGCAATCTGGAGAGAGAATTGCTCTGTTAAAACTAGCTCCCAGCATGTGGATCATTTGCTGGAAAAAGATGTTCTGATTTCTAATGGGCAGGCAAGGAAGATTTTATGTGTCCAGTGCACTGGACATGAGTGGTATAATTTGTGGGCATGCTGATATTTTGTAGTCGGCACATTCTTCATAAAGGTTATACAGTCCTTATTTATTAATTAGAAAGAAAATCAAAGACTTCAGATTATTGAGTCACATTTAGTGTTCATTGCTTGAACTAATTTTGAGCATCCCATAAGGATTACACATATGCTAAGTTAGAATTCAAATATAGTTTAAAAAGGGCTTGGAAAAATGAGTATGTAAAATAGTTTTGGTGTTTAAGAACTGTGTGTGAACAGTAATGTTGACATTTACTTAGAGCAGTCTTACTTGTCCCTAGGCTGATTTGTTCTGTGTGGCAGTGTTAAAAGGATAAACAATGTTGTAAATGCTGCAATTGATAACAGGCCACAGCTTATCTTCCTCACTCTGTGTTTTGGATCCTGGTGGGACACAGCTGCTATCATTTAATAATAAAGGAAGTCATCTCAGTCCTCTGTTTAGCTGTACTGAGCTAGTCTTTTGCATTAAGTTTAAACTGATTTGTTAGAAATATTTCTGGATTTTTTTAGTGACAAAGATTGAATTGGCCCAATCAAGTCTGACAACCAGCAAATTTTAAATTATCATTTCTATTTTGGTTTTCTTCAAAAGTCTCTCAGGCTGCATGAAAGGAAAGTAATCCAAATATTTTGTCTTCCCTTTTCAGTGCAAAAATTTAGTGCTCTAGCTACCTACTTAAAGATGATAGGATGGAGTTCCTTGTGGTTTGGCAAGTGGTCAAAAGAGCACAACAAATTATTTCATATCAACTTTGCAAGGACTGGAGCAAATACATGGTCAGATGAAGCAGCTTAGCTGTGGAGCTCCTGGTAATTGGCTTTACCTGAGATCTCTATTTGTACAAGCAACAGCAGCATCCTGCTTTCTGTCATTTAATAATCTGGGACCTTAATGATCACCACCTCAAAATATGAGAAGAACTTGGATGTGGAATTGTAAATGAGTCAGCAAAGATTTTTAATAGCCTGATGATTCAGTTTTTTCCCATGATTAGGGAACAGGAGTACATTTGTAAGAAAAAGGAGGCAATCTGGGAAACCTTAGGTCTGTCTTTGAGAAGTTTTAGGACACTGGAGAAAAGAAGATTATTCTTCTCAGGTCATAGAAGGAAATAGAAAGTGAGATAAACTGCCATATCATGTAGACCAGCAAACGAAGCTATAAACTTTTTTGACTTGTTAACTAATTTGATAAAAAGACAGAGATCCAGCCATCTAGTTTTAGGTACAACATTAAACATTTTTTCACTGTGCCACTATTTACAATAGAAGTGGTGGCACTTAGAACCAGAAAGGAAAGGCAGCAAGCAGCCACTTGAAGGGGAAACTACAATGAGCAAAGGTACAAGAGGTTGCAAGGGGTCAAAGTATTGTCAGCACTCAAGACTTTTATCAAAGACAAACAGTGATATTGTTGTGAAGACTGGAGTGGTGGAAACAAAATGGTGGGTCAAAAACACACAAATTATATATCTCTGGAGATTTCCCTTCCCCTGATTCACCTAGGAAAAAGGTGCCAAAAGGAAAAAGGCCCAGGTGGGGCCAACCTTGAGTAACTACCCTGAGCTGGTTCTACAATACTCTACAAAAGGTATTTTTATCAAGACACAGAAATTGTGAAAGCATTTTATCAAGCATGTGTATGAAAGTTTTGTGTACATTTCTGGTAATTTATCTTAAAGAAATATTAATTTAAATTGGAAAAGTTTAAGAAAAACAACTGGTAGAGAACTTGGAGCATTTTTTTTGTTTTTGAACAGTTTAGAAGAGACTGGCATCTCATCTTAGCTATTAGGAAATTGAGAGAAAACTTGGTGGCTTGCAATTACATTTGGGAATAAATATCTAAGTGGAAGAGAAGCTATTTAACTTAAAGGATAAATCAGGCAGGATGTTAAGAGATATAAATCTATCTTGAAAAAATTTAGATTTGGAATTTGGACAGTTTTACCCAAGTGCAGTTCTGAAAATTAGAGTAGGAGGGAAAAGAGCTTTTTATATTTTGAAAGAGATTGTGTAGCTAACTGGCATAGTTCCCGGTGGCAGAAAATTAAGCCTGCAGCATGAGTCCTTCTGTCAGCAGCCCACATACATCAAGCCTTTGAAAGTAGCCTACACTGTATTCATATATTATACAAATAAAAGTTTGACCTGTATTTATACTGTTTTAAGCCCATGCTGAGATCATCCACTGATTTGGTATATATGACATAAGAATTTATTTTGTTTTTCTAGAATGTATCCCTGAAGATCTGCAGTTTTTCCCTAAAGACTTGGCTGCAGTGCTGGTGCTCCTGGTTATGTTCCGCTCCCTCTGGTGCTCACACATTCAAGGGACAGTGATTTGGCTGAGGGGCCAAGAAATTTCTTACCCAACAAATCAAATTGGTAGGGGTTTGATACAGTTTTAGTCTTAATTGCCCCTCTGTCATGGGGTCAGATATGCTTCCTACTGTAGCCCCTTCCTAGCCAGCTTTATTTAACAAGCTCCATGTTATTGTAAAGGACTTTGCAGTACCCTCAGTCTCTAATCTTTCTTTCTCCTGGCATGACATATTGGTGCCTTTTGACTGTTTTCTACAGCTGACAAGTTTGTTATGGAGTACTGGGAGCTGTTGGTCTATGAGGGATGGGACAGGGACAGTAGATATTTTAGGAACCATTTTGAACCCAGGATTTGTTTCATGATTGCCTGAAATTATGAGGCGTCAATTTGGTCACCTTCATTTGATGGGACTTCTTCTGAGACTCTCCAAGCTGGGAAAACAACACATCTTAGTGTGATATCTGTGGAAGTTAAATAAATCTGTTCCAAATTGCACAGTAGATCAAATATGGATCAAGGACAGTTACCGTAGTTAACTTCAGCTGTGTGATGCATGGTAGGCACTTTCAGGGTTGAGCCCTCTGAAGTTGTAAAAGGCAACATCTGGGAATCCATGAAGGAAAACTTTTTTTGCCACATGCTTCTGAAGTACAGGGTGCTCACTAGGGTGACCTGGCTGAGCGGTGACCCAGTGCTCTCTGGTGTCGTCCCATGCATATCCCCATCTGCACGAAACAGAGACAAGGGAGGGGGACACATGCAGTCCTATGTGCTCAGGCGTAAAGGCCAGATCCATGTGACTAAATAAAGCAAGCTGAGACCCTCTCCATCCTTAAGACCAAGAGGCACAACTCAAAAGGCACTGCTCACCCTCTACCTTCCCCTCCCCACCTACATATGCACCTCACTGGGGCTACCTGTTGTTCCATGCTCTCCCCAGAGCTGAGATTGAGCTGGTTAGTGTTTTTATTCTTCATTTTGACTTTTTAAACTCACAGTCTGACTGCTGAGCTTATGCCCCTGTGTGTCCCTCATAGCACCATGAAAGCATTCAGTGCCATGAATATGGTCCAAGGGGAATTTGGCTGTTCCTAATTAAAACTGAGAATACTGCAAAGGATTGCCTTTCTAAAAATTAAGGGAACAAGGCAAATTGGTTACCAGCTTGACACTGCTTACAGATTCAGACCTATTTCAGCTCTTTCTTTACATTACAGATGAGTGTTAACACGAGTTTCCTGGCTCTCAGCCTTGGTTTGGGCAACGTGGAGCGAGGCAAAAATCTTTATGCTTGTTTAAATGCAATTTCTCCCATTACTCCTATTTTGCATTTCATTAATGTGCAACCATTCCTGTGGGTCCCTACGGTACCTGCAAGGTCAGTAGTGATCCATTCCTGTATGTGGGTGGTGTTGGGGTTGGTGAGGTTGGTTTGGAGCAGGCTGCTGTTGGCCCAGCTCGCGGCACGCTCGGCGAAGTCGGGCGAGAGCTGCACGCCCGCGTCCACAAAGAGGGAACATCCCAGCTGGACCACCGTGCCTTGGCTGGAGTCAGTCACTGCTTCATCCCCCATGTGCATGAAATCCTGCACGCTTCGATCTGCCAGGCAAGAGAGAGAAACTGCAATTGTTGTGCTGTGGTTAAGGACAGCAGGGATTGCCTCAAGGCTTCGCAGCTCTCAGCTCCAGTGCTGACATTGGTGTCCTCTGACTGTTAAAGCCCTAAAACAACTGGAGCACCCTTGATTCTGTGGAGTATTCCTGTCAAGCACTGCTGCCACGGGCAGTGATGCACTGGGCCTTGGAAAGATCTCTTCATGTGTCTGTTGAAATCACTCAAGTGCAGATGTGTTAAGTGGATGATTACATGTCAGGCTCACAGTTCTATGCAGACACAGTCCTTAGCAGTTCATAAGGTAGCTATTTTTTCTTGGTCACTCTCTGAGTTCCCACCAGTGAGGTCTAGTGCCTCTGACCATGACTGGCTGAGCTGCAAATGCCACAACACCGCTATCTCCTTTTCCTTATGTTATCCATCTATCCCAGGAAAGGCATTTCTCTGATGGCCCCTCTGCCACCCTTGGGCCCTTAGGTATTGTCTGATTTCTTGAAGGATTGTGTCCCAAACTGGCCCAGTATTTCTGATGAGCCCTGACAATCTTAAACCTAGCTGATAAGTTGCTTCATGTGTTACAAGTGACTCCTTTATTTATACAGTCCACAACAGTGGGCTTTTTTCTTATTTTAAGAAAACTGACATGATCTGAGGTGTAAAGTATTATTCTTGTGTGTTTTCCATTAGTATGGGAGCACCTGATGAGCTCTCTGGAAGATGTGAGAAGTCAAAGATGGTAAATTAGAAGAAGAGATGAATGTGAGCAGTGGTAACCCAAGCTTGTGACTTCACCAAAGTGTTTAGCTAACCAAAGTCCCAAATTGTTACTTGGACAACAGCTCAAAATTACTTTAACAAAACAGCAAGGAGAAATAATTTTAAAGCATGTAATTTTGTCTGTGCTGTCTAGTGATACATCCCTTTATACATTGGTTTTGTTAATACTAGAATAAAAGGTAAACCAATTTTCCAAACATTGAAAGAAGTTTACAAGTGCATGTAAGAGCAGATTCTATGTAAGCAGTGAATTAACCATTGATGTTTTCATTGTTTTCAGCCTGCTAAGGTTTTAACCATATCCTTCATTATTGGTTAGGGCAGACTAACATAAACTTTAATGCAAACATCTACTGGAATAAAGGATTTTTTTTCATATACGTATATATATACATACATATACAATTTGGGTTTACTCATCTTATTGGAAATTTCAGCTCAGTATTTAATTTGTTTATTTGATTTAGACCATTTGAGGAAGTGGTTTCCTTCCCCGCTACTGGGAATATGCTATATACCAATAACAGTAGATCCCATCCTACTTTATTTTCACATTCATGCATTAATATTACTGAAAGCCAAAGATGAACTGGTTTATGCCACAGATGTCTAAATGGAGATAAAATGTCTGCTTGCTATGATGTGCCACATAAGAAGAGAGCATAAAAGAGCTAGCATTAACAACCCCTGCACTTCTTTGTTATATTTTCTGTGGAGATCTGTGCTTGAATTTCACTTTGAAATGTTATTCTGTAAGGTCCTTTCATAATAACTGAGTCCCTAATGACAAGAAGTGTCAAGCAAGGTATAATCTTTAGATGAATTAATGTTGTTTAGGAATTGAATTTACAGAAATAGGAGTCCTGTAGGCAAGGCTTCATTATATCAGCTGCTCATAATTTAGATGCTCTGTCCCTGTGTCAGTACATGTAGCTGCATCTCTATGGATCAGCCAGAGTTAGCTCTTACTGCTGTGCTGGGGCTGAATACCAATGCTGTACAGAATGGTGGTGGTGACTGAGTCTGGTTACACCGTAGGACAACGAAATTACCGTGCATTTTAGTCTTCATACTCTGAAGGTAAATTTTATGCTGAGAAATAGCAGTGTTATCTCTATACATAAGTATTGTATGTAAGCTGCAAATTTTGAAGATGAGGCAGTCGTCTGCTTTTCATAAACATTCTGCCCCTAATGTAGAATAGTTTTTGACATATGATTTGAGATGGTAGGATAATCCAGAGCTAAAATGAAAACAGCATCCTTGAATTCAGCTGACTTAATGCTGGAAGTAAAGACATCTGTCTTTCCCATATCCCTTCCAAATTCCCAGTGAGTTTTATATTTTAGCCTGCTTTCAGGGAAAGATGCAATTGCACCATCCATCTGTCAATGTATATCTCTGTCTGCCAGTCTCCTTCTGATAACTTTTCATATTTTTGGCCAGTTGTAATAGCATTAGCAAAGTCTTAAAGATAATTTAGCTTCTACAGGTTTAATAAAATTTGTTAGTGGGATAGGGGAGAAAAACACTGTTTTCTGCCTGGCAATTCTTTGCAGGGCACACAAAGGAGACCAGGACACACTGGACACAATGGACCTCTGGCAAACCTGGAGTAATTCTGCTGTTCAGGGAAGTAACTTTTCTAGATATAGCTGTATTTTTTGTCATAAGAGAGTAAGTACTGATTCAGGAAAAAAAGGAATAATAACTTGTTTGTCAACTACTCGCTCCCTTGAGTTTTCTTTGTCCATCTGATACCTGGCTGTCAAAGATGGAGAAAAATACATCTCGCAGTGAGAGAGAAAGAAGAGGTTTAGTATGATGTGTGCAATTCTTGTCACCTTTGTAATTTATTACAAAAAGTAAGATAATAAGGATTTTTCTAAGTATGTTACCATGAATGCTGTATCCTAGGGCATCTTGCAGCTCCATAAGGGTATTTCCTTGAGCTCCAAACTGCAGCAGCTCCAAAGAAACAGCCACACTTGTTGGAGAGACTACCAGATTGGTCCTGTTCTCTGCTTCAGACACCTGCCTGTAGAGACTGATGGCAAATTCAGTCTTCTGCTCTCTCAGCTCATCATAGGAGATGCAGTTCCCTTTGGTTATGCGGCAAGCAGACAGGATAAATGCAGAGAATAAAATGGGCAACATGAAGATGAGCTGGGAACAGTGTCCACCAGCTAATACCTGCAATTAATGGCACATATATATTTAGAAAAGCAATAGTCTGAGCTGGCAGAGGAACTTTCCATCAGTGTTGAGATATCACTTACAATACTAATGATCACTGTTAAAATACTTGTCCAGGTCTACTCAGTAGCTACTGTCATTTAAAAAAAAGAGAAAATACATATGTATGATATGTATGGACATGCTGATGACTCTGTTGACTAACAAGAACTGAATTTTCCAGACTGCTGTAGCATGTAAGTTGGTTGGCCATTACAGAGCATGGAGACACACAGTCTCTTGGTTAAAAATTGGCCACCTGCACACATGATGGATCATCTCAGTGCAGTCTCCATGCTGCTGAGCACCCACAGCTCCTTTCCGTCCCCAGCAGAAAGGGGGTCACACCCAGCATTCCCAGAAGAAAGGATACCCCTCATGAAGTGCAGAAATCTATTTGGAGGCTCCAGGCTGGGCTTTGGATCCAACTTTGCAAAAAGGCTGGCTTCAAATTCCCCCCCCCCTCCCCCCACCCCAGATACTCCCTCTATGAAATTTATGCCAGCGAAAGAAAAGGTGGTATTTGCAAAAGGCTCCAGTGCTTGCTGCACAAAATCACCACATCAGATTTTTATGGGAAATCAAGCACTGGTCAACGTTATATTAAGAGACACTTAGATTTAAAGGAAAAATGCTAAAATGAGAGAATAGTTTTCCTCACAGAATTCCACATTTGAAGATTGTATACAAATATATTAAAAAAATTACTGCACCTTCTTTCACCTCAGGATTTCCTACAAATCTTTCTCCATGCCCTTTGCTCTAGAGAGCACCTCTAATGCTTTGTATTTACTCACAGTTAGCTCTGTTAAATTGTCTTGCCTTTCTGTGTCCTTCTGGGTGCTTGAATGGAAGCTGCCTATGAACGTCTTGTCTCCTTCTTTAATAGGTAGTGGAGCAAAGACCAAGTCATGAGACTATATTTAAAGGGATAGTCAGTGATCAGAGTCTCTGTCGGCGATGTCTGTACCACTCTGTCCAAATTCCTGTAGGCTACAAGCTCCATGGAGAGCCAGGCAAAGCAGCATGCCACTGACCAGCAAATCCAAGGCAAGGAACAAAAAGGTACACATGGACATAGAGTCAGCAACTTCCTTGCAAGCCCTGCTCGAGCCTCATGAGGCTTGTGACCTGCTGGTACTGAGCAAGGCATCTCCTATCTCTCTTCCCACCCCCCTCCTTCTTTTATATGAATTCCATTGATTCCTCTGCCACAAAGGGGAAGAGAAAGGGCTCTCTGTGTACCAGGCACACAGCTGTTTTTTCTACCCCCACTTTGAAACCCTATTTAGAAATCTCATGCAATTAAAATGTCTTTATTTCCATTTTTTTTTATTAATGATATCCAAAATAGTAAGATTTGCTTTCACTCTTTAATTTCCAGAAGGAAAGAAACAACAAAGTGCCGCACTTGAAGGAGAGCAAGTGAGGAAGGGGCCACTTTGAATGGACCAGAAGCAGAAGAGCTGTAGTTGTGACCACTTTAAAAGCAGTTGCAGCTGTTCATGGCTTTCTTTGTGTGATTGGATCAAATCCTGCTCATCATATTCACAGGTTCAGACTCACAGCTTCACAATGCCACCTAAGACAAGCAAGATTTGGCTTAAAAATTAACGTACAGCTGCAACTTATTGATCTTCCCAGAGTTTGATGTTATATATATGGCCATTTCACAATATACATTCCTATTGCAAGTGGGAAAGAAGACATTGGGGAAAAGGGCATTACAATCAAGCAATAATTTAGATGCTACTGTTTCACTCTTAGCAGGGAAGGAGCAGCCACACAATGGAATTAGAATGCAAGTGAGAATGAAGAAGTGGGCCTCTCATTCTGTTCTTGTGCTGTTCCTCCTCTCTGCTGTTTGGAGCATATGCCAGAACAGATGCTTACACTGGGGTCTGTTTCAGGATCCTAGGATTTAGAGCACATTCCTGTCAGGACTGATGAAGTGCAAGAGCTTGGTCAGTCACAGTCTAATACAACAGGCAGAAATATAATTTTGCCACAGATTTCAATAGCAGTATCTTTAGGCTGAAAATTGCATTTGGGCTTGGGGGTTTGGCTGTATGAGGACCTCTCTGCTGAAGTTATCATTAACAGTTTCCACTGGAGTGGAGATGTATTCAGAGGGAATGAAACAGAGGCCACCAAGTGATTTCTTGAAGGGGTCAGAGCTGTCAATAGATAAATTAGCTCTGGTCACTGGTAAGGACTGTACTCTGGATTTCATGTGGTGTTCCCAGAGGCTCTGGACCTGAAAAGACATTTATTTTCCCTTCTTGATACTCTTCTGTGGATTTATTGAGATTTAAATGAAAGCTGGAGAACCCCTGAAGGTTTTAGGTATTACTGCCTAAAAATAACATTCAATTTCCACTTAGCAGAATGTTGCTATTCAGATTTGTGTTGTTTATTTATGGAAGACATAATTGAAAACTAGACCTGGCAAAAATGTTGTGTAAGACAGCATAGTTTCAGTGAGAAAGGGAAAAACGTGTTCTGGGTCTTGTCTCATCACAAAGGAAACTTATAAATGAGGAATCTTTGCAGCAAAAACAGTGTTTGCAGACAAGCAGAGAGGACTTAAGAAAATTAAAACTGGATCAACATTGTTCAAAGCAACCATGGGGAATACAAAATGTGCTGGGGGAAGCCTGGGGGAAGGTTATGAACATTTATCATAGTCAACGTAAGAATCAAAATTCTCATGCCTGTTCAGTTTAGCAGCCTAAGTTCAAAGTTTGTCTGTGCCAGGCTGGGATCCACAATTGAGAGCTGGGTGTCCAAGGAGAAGCTAGTGCCACGTCAGGGTGAGTCTGAAAATTGAGGCTGCCAAGTGAGCCCAGGCAGACAGGAACTGAGCTGTCCAAGTGAGGGTAGTTCAGGGGGGGCTGCAAATTAAACAGGCCAGTTACAGAAATTCCATGTCAGAAATAGAGGGGTCTTGGACCTACAGAAGTGTTAGAGTTGGGCTGCTGTGGAGAAAGGGAGTTTCTGTCTCCTTTAAGGATATTTTTTTAGAGCCTTCATACTTGCCTGTGTCCTAGTTTAGGCATCACAGCTTTCTTTGATTCTTAATCTGGTTTTGCATCACAAGGTACTGAGAAAGTACTGATAAACTTTCTGGCAATATTTTTGTTTTTAAGATGCTGAAAATGCATTCAAAAAGGTATGCAATTACTGGTCCCCAGGATAATGCTTCAAAGTCAGGAAGGGGCAGAGGTAGCATCTGTATTTTGAGAAGTGCTTCTTCACATTGCGATGACTTTGATTGACTGTGAGGGAAGTGAGGAAAGACACAAACCGAGAGTGTCTGGAGAAAACAGAGCACAGGAGTGTGTGGGTAGCATCCTGGAGCAGAGAGCACTGTGTCTCTGTGGAGCTCCTCTGAGCTTCTGCAGGAGCAGCTGTGAGAGCTTCACAGGGAGCCCAACCTCTCTGTTCCCCTGTTAAGCAGAGAAAACCACCATTCTTTAAGAAGGAAGAGAGCAAAGAGCTTCCTGACGCGTGAACACCTCCCCATGCAGGGAGCCAAACTGGTGGAAAGCACTGGAAAGAAGCCATAAGTGGTGGCTGCATTCCACGATGGATTAGATCACATCTGTGCCTGCAGTGTGCCAGTGCTGTCCCTGCACAGCCCCTTGGTGTTCCCCTGTGTGGCCATGGTGGTGGGCAAGGGGACAGACTGCTGAAGCATCCCCTGCTGCTCAGCACTGACAGATGCCATCACAGGTGGCTCTGCAATGTCTGGTGTGAAAAATGTGCAGAAGTGGAGAAGAAAGGTGAGGGGGAAAGAAACAGAGAGAGCTGTCCTCCAGAATTCCATCTCCAAGGTCTTCATGGGCCAGATTCTGCTCTCAGATATAGGATTGTAAATGCAAACCATCAGCACAAACCTGGGTCCTCGAGCAAATGAAGAGTTGCTGGGGGACTGTGGTCTGGGAGACTGCTCTGGGAGAGAGGATGCTCCATGACTGTAGAAAACAGACTCAGGGTCAAGCCTACATGGTGGTGGTGGAAACAGGGAGGAAGGTCAGGAACTTATAAGCTCTGGAAACAGCCAGAAGTCACAGGACTGAAATGAAAAACCAGAGGGAAAAACACAGCCTGCATGGGCACTATGGGTGAAGAAAGACTTCTTTGGAAACCTTTTCCCACATCCAGTTTTTTCTCACAGGAGACTGTAGTTTTCTCTGATTTATTGATGTTCTAAGAAAACGGAGCCCTAGTTTGGTGTGGCTACTGAGAGGAAAGGGAGAGCTGTTCTGCTTTGGAGTCTAGCCAGTTTCTGCTTCTGTTGCATGCACTTTACACAGTGATCTGGAACAGAATTTTGCCCAGGGAAAGGCTGGAGGAGAAAAGAGAACCAGTAAGAAGCAAGTTTTCCTCTTTAGAACTCTACTGTTAGCTTTTCTGTGTCAGGTCAGTCTCCTGCAGTCTTTCTTCCCCTCTAGCACCATCCTGATGTCAGTAGAGCTATTGTGCATTTACCCCTTCCCAAATGAGAACAGAACTTAACCTTCTATCATCATCTGAGTTTTGTGTGCTATTTCTCCTTAACACATAGAATAACCCTAGGGAAATTAAATTGGATTCAAACCACTTCCTGCTAACATCTCTCCTCCAGCAGCAAGCCTGCACTGCAAGATGCCAGCACATTTTCTCAGTCAGGAGGGTGGTTCTGCTGAATCTCAGGATAAGAAAAACCTGCATCATCACTTCATATAGAGCTTATTCTGTGGGGAGGCAGATGGCTGTGGAGCCACAAAACACCCAGATGAGCAAATTCAAGTGAATTTGTTTACTGCTATCCCCATGCCATGTAAAAACCAACACTGCCTCTGCCTCCCACTGGGGTGGACAAAATCTGGCTCTTCAAAGGGTGACCACTTTAGAGGGTTGCTTCCAAATGAGAAATCCATCTGCTCAGTGAGGTGCCTTGGTTTGAGCAGATGAGCTTGGTTCTAGCCTGGACCTTCTGGGGAGGTCAAACAGTGCAGAATCCTACAATGGAACTCCGTTCTGCTGGAGCCCCCAGAACGCTTCCCTCACACCTTCCTGGCCAGCTCCAGGTGGAAAGAAGTGCTGTTAGCAGCAATGTTTTTGGCAGCTCCACAGGAAGAGGTGGTCTCCCCGCCCATGGCTGCAGGTTGGATAGCAGAGGAGCAGTGGCACAGGCTGGCTATGACCAGACTGTGCAGCGCTTGGTTTCCAGTCCTCTTCAGCCCCTGTGGATCTAAAACATGAATGTAACATTTTGATGGATTTTCCTTTATCTCTGATACTCCAAGTGGAATAACAGTTTCACAGCATCATGCTGGGAATCAGTGTTTCCTGCCCCGAGAGATGCCCCAGGGGCATACTTTGAGGACAGGTTGGTGACAGAGGACTGTGTGACAGCTAGTGACAACAACCAAAAACTGAGCCAGGCAGTAAGTTAATAAGTGGTGTGAGAAATTAGTGCAGGGGTGAAGTTCAAGTTTGCAAGGGGTAGATGTTTCTAAAGTGTTATGTGATGTCTTCTGCTGTGGGAAGAACAGTGCTTTTCTGGGGTGTGAAGCAAAGCAAACAGGAGTTCCACTTCCACTGGATGAGGTTAATGCCATAACACAGGTGAGGTGACAGGTGTTCCCACACACAGAAGTGAAGGCTAAGTAAGAGCCCAAATCAAGCAGTTTTCTAACTGACAGTGACTGTTCTCATAGTGCATTTTTTAATAGACAAAATTAAAAAGGGATGAGAAACTATGAGACTAAAGGCCACTTATTTTTTCAGGTTGATGAAATTTATTTGAATTAAAAAAAAATAAAAAGAAAAAAGGAAGGAAATCTGATTGAGGGAAGACTGAAGATTTTGCACATCCTTGTTGTAATGCAATAGTTATCCTATGCATGTGTCATAGGGAAGACAGCTTAAGGAGCACCAGGAAAATGATGCATGAGGTCCAAAGAGATAATCTCACTGTGTATATATTTTCTGCAGTGTTATATGAAGATCTTAGTAGTAAAGTCTCTTCCCTGTGGACTCTGGATGTATGATAAGAGCCTGTCTGTGCACAGCTGACCTGTGAGCACTGCTGTCACAGATCAGCTGCTTAGCTGACTGCAGTGGCTCAGAGCTGATGCATCAGCATGTCCAGATTTCACTTGCGAGTCTGTGAGATGCCATCTCTGCCCTCAAATGTCACCCTTTTGGCATCTGCAGACTTAAAATTCTCCTGAGATAGGGTCAGTACCCTGCATGGGGCCTAGTGGAGTTTCACACTCAGACAAGACATGCCAGCGAGCCAAAGCAGGAGTGGGGAGCAGTGCTGTGGCAGCATATTTTCCTCCCAGACAACTCCACAAACCAACAAATTAAATGCATTTGCTGTTGATATGGAATACAAAGTAAGTTAAAAACTGATACCCCCAAATGCTTGTCTAACTGTCTGTCACAGGCTCTTACAGTGCCAAGTGAATGATGCCAAGTAAATGACATAGGACAAGGTCCTCATATGAGCACATTGCCAGCTGAAGTTTCTGCTGCTGGTCTGACTGAAATGACAGGGAACCAAACAGAAGATGAAAACATAAAGATGTTTATGAAGTTGCAGTGCTGACTTCTTATAAGAAATCTGGTTTTCAGAAAGAGGGATGTGGTTGAGTAGGCAAGACGGTTGAGATGAAACGGGAATTTATGGAGTGAATAACGTGGAAGAACATGGCTTTGCATAGGCCACCACAGCTTGTGATGTGTCCCCAAGCTGGGCAGAGAGGCATGGCTGTGTGCTTCACACACAAAGTGTGTTTGCACAGGTTGCACATATTTCTTCCTGCATGAACTTCACTGCACACAAGTTCACTGAAACTAAGCAAACCCTCTTACTCTGGCAGCCCCACTCTCGGATTCCCAGCCTGTGTGGTGAAATGTCCTGTTCCACCATGACAGGCAGGGGAGAAAGGGTGGGTGGGTGTTTCCATGTCCTTCTGCTAGCAGGGCAAAACAAAAAACCTTTATTCTCCAGAAGCTGATTTGCCCTCACAGCTTCAGGTTATAATCCCTTTTGGTGACATCACAGGTACTGCTGAGGCCACCAAGGTGATGTCACAATGAGAAGCTTATGACTGTAAATGGGGAGTAAGTCACAAGAACAGATGACCTCAAATTAAGCTAATATCCTGTTATTATGTAAGTGTTCCCAATACTTACATAAATGTGCCAGTAACAAAAAATAAGAAAGAAAAAGGCCCAATGACCTATCAGGATATGTGAAGATGTGTGTAAAGTTGACACTTCTCACAGACCCACAGATCCTTTATTTATGTGTCTTGCCTCTAAAAATCGTCCTCCTATCAGCTCAGTTTTTAAATCAATCTCAGGATCTTTCCTTATTTAAAGAGAAAAGTACAAAAGTTATCTATATTCTGACATGTCCAATAATCACATAGCAAAGGATCCCAACCAAATACAATCTACATTTTAGTGTCACAAATGTGTTAAGTAATTTGAGCATATAAGAACATGGAAATATGTCTTTCCTGTGAAGACCTCTGGGGTCCTTGGGGAATACCATAGGATGGGTGTATATCTGAAACTATCTAATTATTACCTGCTGTATTCTTATGATAAATAGGAACTAATAAAATTGAAAACTATGCACAATTGTATCATAGAAAAGCTTTACTGCATCTATAAAAATGATACTTTATATGCTGGGCTAAGTTCTTTGAGTTGGAAATAATGTTCAGAATCTCTAAGGCACTTTTTTGTAGATGCCTCCACTGTTCTGCAGGTTTATTATTTTCCATGGACAAATATTTATTACATTTTATCCTGGAAAATTATTAATGGATTCTTTTGCTTTGATAGGATAAGAAGCACATTTAAATGCCTCTAGGGGTAAATTATTTCACATCAACACTTTCAAACACAAAGTCTGGATCTTCAGTAATTTTTTACATTATGCAAGTAGACATTTAAGGTACTTAATACTTTCTAACCTCTAGTGCCCTTTTTACACAGAGACAGGCAGTCAGCAGGGATTAATCTGATCCTAATTAACCACAAACTCTTCTGATATTTGGTCAGTGCACAGTAGCGTGCTGCCAGGTACGCAGAGGTAAACTGATCTGGATTATCTGCTGGTGCATGTGCTCCATGGAGGGAGGTCTGTGCTCCGTGGGGTGGGCGAGCCACGGCAGATACAGCTTCAAACATGCAGCGGGGAGGCTGCTGTGCAAAGCTGCAGCTGCAAGGAAAGGGGAAAGAACTCATCAGGAGGCTTCTTCTTAATGGCTTTCTATCAAGATTTCATTCTCAGAGAGGGCATTTGTTGATGTGGCACCCTCCCAGACCAGATCGCTGCCTCCGCCCTCTCCTGATGCAGAACAGAAGCTCCAGACAAAGTGTATTAGAGAAATGCTCTCATTGAGTCACGAGGTGCATAAAGAACCCCCTTGCTTTCTAAATTCCTCCTCAGAGAGGAATCTAGGTGCAGATGGATCCAGTCTTTGCCCCAGACTTTTTGTTTAAAGCATTATATATGTGTAATTGAATCTTTCCGTGAATTTGGACCGCAAGATTAAGAAAGGAAAACCGAATATATTTATATAAATAAAATAAATTATTTATTTTATTGATGGTGATAATTATAATGATTAGACTAAAGGACCTTAATCAGAATGATTTACTACACAGTACAGATAGTAATAACTACTAGTGCAGTGCACTGTTTATTGAATATTGAAACAGCAATATTGAAGGTAGCAAAACAAGTAGAGATTGATGGTACTCACCCATACTAACAACTGCTGGCAAATCTATTCTTCTCAGCCTTGGGGGAGTCCTCAGCCAAGGGAGGAATCTCCACACACACTCCTAGAAGGGGATATTAGATGTGCTTGCCATTAAAAAGTGGGGTTTCAGTCCCATGGGAACAGTTGCCCCCTCTGAGTCACAGGTGTTGGGAGGTGATGGTGCTCCACTCTGCCGGGCTCTGTCCATCCTCTGCTAAAGCAATAGAGAAAACTGGGCATGTGAGGTGGCAGGAAACCTTACTGCAGAGCCAAGAGAATTCCTACCCAGTGTTAATGCTGGGTGCTAACAGCTCTGGTTCTTGATCCTTCTAACAGTAGCATGGCCCAGCATTTGAGTAGGGATCCAAGATAGTAGAATGAAATTTTTTTGGGAAGTATGGAGCAGGACTGGCTGTCTGCAGGCTCTTCACAGAACCTCAGCTCTGCAGGACCATGGCTTTTGAAATGTTGTCATATTTGTGATGGTCACCCGGGCCTTATATGCATTAGATCAAGGCAGGCTGACAGGATCACCCTTACAGCTCAGGGAAACAACTTTAAAATTTAATTTTTTTTATTCTGTATTGTTGAAAATGTTCATACAGATGTCAAGAACAAGAAAATAGCAGACCAAAAGTCAGGGGAATAGAATGTCCCAGAAATGGAATCCTGAAAAGTTAACTTGCTGATCCTGACTTGGCTAACGCAAGGCAAATTCTCAAAGGAGCTACATGGAATTTCTTTATTTAAAGTGGTGATCAGGGCACCTGCAGTCCTCTGAGTGTAGTGGGATTCACTGCTTAGGGTTTACCTTTGTTCAGACTGCTCCAAAGAGTAGAGCCAAAAGCCAGCTCAGGCCATGGGAGTAGGCAAGCATGTACTCACGTGAACAAGTGTTGGTTTCCAGGATAGTTTGTTTGCTTTCCAAGCTAATTCTTCTCTTTTCCCCCTCAACTCTGATGCATTCCTCTCTGAGGCATGGTAGTCCTTGGAGATCAAGAGAGTTAAAATATTCCCCAGAGAGGCAGTAATTTTGGGAAGCTGAACTCTCTTGTATCAGTGTGCAGTTTGCCTGGTACCCAGCCATTAGCTTTTTCTGACGCAGCTGAAAACAGGCAGGAAAAGAGAGCTGACTTCAAGCTGAGCTTTCAGGGCTGTAATACAGAGCCAATTCCTACAGAAAAAGTGCACTGCTTTAAACAGAAGTCGGCTGGAATAGGCATCTAATAAAATAAGATTGTTTTGTTTATGTTTCTCCATAGTAAGTGGGACTATATTAGAGCTATGCTTGGTGACACAAGGTTATTCTCAAATTTTTCCTTGGGACTGGAACACTGCATGGCTATGGCTGGGGGTCTTGTGTGAAGCCACACAGGAGGCATGTGCCATTCACTACAGGATGGCTGCTGATCTTTCATCTAGAGTTGTTCTCTGTGCACTTTTGTCCAGAGTTGCTTTTCACGTTGGGACTCCCAGCACTGTCATATTCCCAGCCCCCGAGGTTGTATGTTTGGAAACAGTATATCTGTTTTCTGGAATAAAACAAAATTAAACTGTTAAACTATTTTGTTTCACACAAACACTACACTATGACAATAGAAAAGAAAAAGTGTTAAAAAGAGAATTGGTCTGGTGAAGATTGCTTCTTCAAAGGCACAACAACGCACTGATTCTGCTTGAGATGTGGCACAGCACATATGATCTCTGCATGACGGTTGTAATTAAATGTAAAACATTTATTTCTCAGTGCTTTTTCCCCTCCATGCTTAATGTCTATTTGTTGCTGCTTGGTCTCATAACAACTCTATTAATTAGGAAAAAGTGTCAAAGGACCAGTTAATGAATGAATGAATGAATGGATCCTGAATTAAGAAATTTTTAAAACAGCTATAGCCTCTTTAAGTGCTTTTTTCAAATATGGGGACATTTAATGTTGCAGTTCGTTGGAAAATAAGACTCTTTACTTCAGCATTTCAAGAAGAGAAAAAATATTCATAGATTGAGGGAAAAAAGAAAGCGCTAGCTGTTGTCACAGTGTCAAAAGTAATTATTTTTGATTGATCCATTTGCCTTGATCCTTATGACCCTCAAGAATTTCAAATACTTCTCAGTCAATCATTTAAATTCCTCAGTTAAACCCCATACCTCATTAAATAAAGAATAATGGAGGGGGGGGGGGGGGGGGTCTTGATATGCTTTTCTTTTGGCTTGTCACTCCAAAGTCTGAAAATGCAGATCATGGAATCTTAAAGTATCCTCAGTTTTCTTTTCAAATAGCAAAATAAAGGTCCTCTATACAGTTCATCACATTCTCTTAAGTGGCACTTCCTTGCTGGAACCTCTTAGGGCTAACTCCAAGTACCACCTTCAGTGGTGGAAAGAGATTATGAGGCACTACATTTACTGGTGACTGTGCTAATGTCACCAAACAACAAAAGATTGTATGGTGAAAGGCAAAAGGAAGGAAAGGAAGGGTATACTTAGAAGACATATATCAAAAAATCTAAGATGTGTCTGAACATTTTTGGGTGTGTATTGACTTCTTAAAGATTGAGGTCTAATGGAAATATTGCAGAATGGGAAGAGGACTCAAAGTATCAGACTATGGGATAGTGTACATGATATACAGTGCAGAGATGCTGGACTTTTTCAATGTTCAAATTATGCAAACAGATTAATTTAATATCTATTTAATCCCATCATACACCCCTATTTATACATAAAAACTAACTCTTGCCCTGATGTGTGTTTTCCCAGAAAAATATTTTCTCATCTGAGAGTTCAGCCTACTTTTCTTCTGCTTCTTTAAGATGGCATAGCTGGTTTGTTTTCCATTCCCAGTTTTTCACCTTCCATCTGCTTTTCCCATTCTCTCGTGATGCGACAAGACAAGAAATGCAAACCTGAATCTGGACCTGGAACGCTGCCACAGGGGAAGCTGAAATCAGAAGCAAATCAGAACCATTTATAAATCAAATCTGAAAAGTATTTTGCTGCAATTTATGTCTCATATTATTGTGCACTATGATAACTTAGAGGAAAGGCATCAGTCAGGTTGTAAAAAGGCTCAGAGTGCCAGCATTTAAACTTAGTCCCCAGAGAGAGCCCAGACCTCTCAAGTGTCTCTTCTCCTAGCAGGTAAGATCTCAGACAGCATGGTGGCTCTTGCCCAGATCTGATGAGTTGCTTCCCCAGGGCAGCAGAGCAGCACTTACCTCCTCTGGTGTGTGTCACATCTCACACCCTCACGTGGCCCATGCGGATGTCCCTGCCACATGCACATACAGCTTGTGTGGAAACGTGCTGCACCAAATGTACAAAATTTGTTAATCTGCTTTCTTGTCATCCCACTTGCCTCTCAGCACTTCCAAGCTCTGGGATAAAAGTGTCACCTTGGAGAACACCTTGCACTGCCATGGCAGTTCCAGACATCAGCCAGCACAGCAGCTGAAGCCCCTCAGCAGGACCTGCACTCTTGTACCTGTGGTTTTTGCCCTGTGTAAAATCCAGATTGCATGTGGCATCTCCAGTGAAGCTTCCCAGAAAAACAATTATTATTTCAGTGGAAAGCTGTTGCTCAATCCTGAGACTGCTGTTCCCCAGAGTCTAGTTCTGAAAACCAGCAATAAGAAATAGGATTGACTGTTATTTCTATTATCTTTGAGAGCATTCTCTTATGTAACTTAATTTAATTTGATTTAGTTTATATTAAAAGTTTTTTTCTAGGTAACATTTTTTCATGTACCCAGAATCTTAACTCCTGTATCACAGATTGCAGTCTCTGTCTGTACATCTCATCAATCCATATCTTGTCTTCTTTTCTTTTATGCCAACCCTTACATGATTGCACATCATTTTCAGAAAATTTCACACTTCTGAAAGTCCATATGGTTGTCAAAATCTTTTCTGATGCCACTTGTTTATGGCTTCAAAATAATCAACATAGATTCACACATCCCTTTTTTTTCCCCCCCTGTTCCTTCCCACAGTCTCTTTTGTACACAACTCCAATAAGATTAATTCACTTTTTTCTCCAAATGATGCTGCCAAAGTTAACACATCAGCAGAGAAGGCTTGGAGCAACAATCTGTTCCATCTTGCTATGCTTTTCATTCATGTCAGGCTGCAATCTAGCTGTCACTCTAGAAAGCAGCCAATTTTTCTTTGGGCCATCTACCAAAAATGGCATAATCAGAAAGTGTTCTGATGACCTGGCATATCTAAGAGACAACAAGCCTCCACTGCAGAGAACACCAATAGCTGCATCCCTGTGGTGTCACTGAACGACTCCCAGGTATGCTGAAAGCAGAGGTTTGCCCCTTGCAGTCTGCTGGAGACAAGGTAAGTATCAAATCCAGTGGATTTAGTGAGGAGGTGTTAAAGAGAGGAGTGGGCAGGAAAATAAAGGAGCCCTGGGTCTTGTCCTGCTTCATTCCAGAGAAAGGAGGGAGGGAGGGAGGGAGAAATTTGTGGGGACTGGCAGCACAAATCCAAAAGAACTCATCTGCAAAGAAAGTGTCTGGAAAAGCAAACCAAACCAGAGCAAATATTATCCTGGAAACCTGGAAACCATTGTGCACTTGGGCGCTGCTGGCAACCTGATAGCTTCAGCATCCTTATCTCCCAGGGCTGATGGCTTCCCTCCACATCCCCTACCTCATCCTAATTCCTCAAAGAGCAGAATCTTGCACAGCCCCACATGCCTGAAGCTAGTTCACCATCTGGGGCTAGAAAATGGGAGGTGGGTCACAGATGGTTCCCATCTTTCTGCTCCTCTCCCCCCGGTGGCTTGTCCCTGCCCTCATGGCCAGCTGTCTGGCCGCAGCAGACCTGGCAGTGGTTGTATCCGTAGCCACCTCAGGCTTCCCCAGAAGTCCTTGCTTCAAAACTTCTGCAGAGTCTTTACACACGTGGCAGGGTGGCAACTGGCATCCTCACCCATCCTGTGGGAAAACCACAGGACAATCAGCTCTTGAAGGAAAGCAAGGCAGCAAAGTGTCAGGGAGAGGAAGTTGAAGGGCAGAGGCTGCATTTCTGTGGCTTTACATGGCACAACAGGGGAACACTGGCATCTAATCAAATTCCATAAGCAGGGGAACAGAGTAATTATTTAAAGTTTTGCTTTCTTGTGACCAAAAAACCCCCAAAAGTAGGAAAAAGTGGGACTCATAACCATGTCATGGTAAACATGTGAAAAAACTTTCTTGCTCCTAATCACAGCCCAGTTTAAATAAAAATATGTCCATGCAAGAGTACATGTGAGCTGCAAAAAAAGGCCGTTAATTCATGGAAGGAAGAGGAATTATTAAATTGGTATTATGTGTTGCATTCTTAAAGAGTATCTGTTCCGGGCAGCCCTGTCCCCAGGTTCATTACACCTAAGGAGCAGGAGCTCTCCAGTAGCACTGCTAGCCTCACAAGAAGCATTGTCTTGGCAAGACTTGGGTCATACTTAGCAGATTATCTCCGTACCAGGAGGGCTGAAATTTTCATCAAAGTAAACAGAGGAATTCGTGACAGGCAGCCGGCTTACCGTGCCGTGCTCAGGGGCTCCTTCCCAGCGGATGCTCGGCTCCATCCCAAGAGCAGCCCCGTGGGCTGTGGCTGCTTCCTCGCCCTTGGCTCCGGCGCAGGGGAAGCACACGGCAGATCGCTTCGGGTCACGGAGCCGCTCGCCGGGCTGTTCTGCTCCCCAGCTTGGCGCTGGGAGGGAGGCAGGGCAGGGAGGCAGGGCAGGGAGGGAGGGCAGGGAGGCAGGGCAGGGAGGCAGGGCAGGGAGG